CAAACGTAAACTCGGTAAGAGGTTGGAAATAAGGTAAACGATGTTTCGTCAGAAAAAATCACATTTCCACTGCTCTACGAATCAATTCTGGAGGTTTTCATACCACTCTAAACGCTTTGAAGTAGTTGTATTTGAGACCAAAGGTTTTCTAATTGCAGTTCTTCCGTAGAATTCAGATCTGTGCAGCTTTCGACGGAGGGTCTTTATGGAAACTTGGTTCTGTAGGTGTCAATTGAGGTCTGCAGTAATTTCAACAGCCGTGGTCTTTCGATTGTCCCTCATTAATCGATTTAGGTACCGACAGTCTCTTTCAGATAACTTCGACTTTCGGCCATACCTGTGCCTTGCTGAGGACGTTTTTCCTTCTCATTCAAAAGCAGTCATTACTTCTGAGACAGCACCTCTATGAAACGTCATGCAAGCATTCGGGAAGTTTCTGTCGGACTCGCACTTGCCATACGGCACCAATAATTTGGCCTCCTTGAAATTCAGAAAGGTTTGCCATTTATAGGTTATAGGTTCGGTACTGAAGCAACAATTTATTTAAAATATCTGAAAAAAATTCAAAATATCAATTGACACCAACAATAAACAGTAAAACATAAAAATATGTCACGTTTTCATTATTTATAACATGCTTAAAAATTACAATATCGAAATTGCAATTGTTTCCCTTATTTTTTCTAACCCTTCTACATCCATAGTGACCAAGTGACACAAAAAGCGACGTTGATGCGCTATTCGAGGAAAAAAACGACTATTTATCGAATATTGAAATTGTTTTAGGAATCATGATAATTATTTGCTTCAAAATTCGGGAATTGGAGCTAGGTGAAGTCCAGTTAAACAATTTCATCCACTGTTTATTTTTTCAAAATAATGTTAGTGGATTAAATATATCTTGTCATTACTCAGACACTCTTTTTGAAGACTTTTAGTTATGGAATTTTCAATTTTATGTCTCGAATATATAATAAATTTTTTTTACGAATTCCTCTCTCTCTCTCTCTCTCTCTGTTGGAGCTCGCTAGTTTCCGTGATTCTAAAGCGATAAACAAAGAATTGAGGAGTACGAATAAAATTATTACAACCAAATTCCGTTAAACGTCATGAAAAGGTAAATTTTGATTTGAAATTACACATATTTTAAACTAAAAAAGATTTAGTAGATGAAATCGTTATGAACGCGACTTCATCATCCAAGATAATGATGAATCACGTTTTGTTCAGTATAATTATAATTGTAAATCATTGGAAGTTCCTAACAGCCTGTTTCTGATGTTGGTAGAACACGTCTACCCTGATAGTTTCTGATGTTGGTAGAACACGTCTACCCTGATAGTTCCTGATGTTGGTAGAACACGTCTACCCTGATAGTTCCTGATGTTGGTAGAACACATCTATCCTGATAGTTCCTGATGTTGGTAGAACACGTCTATCCTGATAGTTCCTGATGTTGGTAGAACACGTCTATCCTGATAGTTCCTGATGTTGGTAGAACACGTCTACCCTGATAGTTCCTGGTATTGGTAGAACACGTCTACCCTGATAGTTCCTGGTATTGGTAGAACACGTCTATCCTGATAGTTTCTGATGTTGGTAGAACACGTCTACCCTGATAGTTCCTGATGTTGGTAGAACACGTCTATCCTGATAGTTCCTGATGTTGGTAGAACACGTCTACCCTGATAGTTCCTGATGTTGGTAGAACACGTCTATCCTGATAGTTCCTGGTATTGGTAGAACACGTCTACCCTGCCTGATGTTGGTAGAACACGTCTACCCTGATAGTTCCTGGTATTGGTAGAACACGTCTACCCTGATAGTTTCTGATGTTGGTAGAACACGTCTACCCTGATAGTTTCTGATGTTGGTAGAACACGTCTACCCTGATAGTTCCTGATGTTGGTAAAACACGTATACCCTGATAGTTCCTGATGTTGGTAGAACACGTCTATCCTGCTGAACACGACATACCTCCCTCCCCCAAAGTCAATTGGAATTGACTTGACCTCATTGCGGAATAAGTGCATTAGGTAGGGCCGGTCATTAGCTGCGAGGTGGAGGGTAAGAGCGGAAGTGGGGCCATGCGGAATCATATTTTGAGGAATGTGGTGCGTGATAGCCCCAATTTTGAAAAATAAATGGTAGGAAGTAAGCCAGTCCTAAGTGGTCTGTCGTGGTCTACGGTGATGCAACTCAATCTAGGATGAATGTACTAGCTATTGCATGTTATAGGCTGAGTTTTGGCTACAGAGGTGATTGAAAAGTTAAACTTGTGACCCAGATCTACACCCCCACTGGAAGACTGTCGCTGGAAGTATAATGGAGCTTTCATCGGAATAAATGAAACACAATGACGTATACACAATACCCATCGAGTCAGGACCTGAATATAAATGACTTAAATCTGGAATTGAATTTTCGTGGTGGGATACTGAGGCATTTAAAACGATTTTTTTTGTGAAAATTTGAATTTAAGAATGCGTATATGAATTTCAATTGATAGAGCGTATCTCACTGATTTATATGGCATTTTTATTAACCAACATTAGTTTAGTTTCAAATTATTGCTAGTTTGGGGACACTATAGTGTATTGGTTTCAGAGAGACGGTATGGGAGAGTGAGCTGTATTATTGGAAATGGGATCAGGGTAAATAGGATTGAAAGAAACTGGATTCTAGAACGGTACCGTATGGATGATCTATTCCTAGCGAGGCCTGGTTTGGCTATTTTTTGTGTTAATACGAAGAAATGACACCGTTTATGCATGTACGCCATCATTAAGTGGGCTGAAGTCAAGCTGTTCCAGCCATGGTTGAACTATATAAGGGAGAAGTTCCGTCTTTCAGCTAAGCTTTCTTGTTACGTCACTGAGATCGAGAAACGTAAACAAACCCGTCATTCCCATGACGGATTGGTCGACTGGTTTGATCGCATTTCAGTGATTGGTTAAAGCCCGTGACGTCACTGAGATCTGTGACGTCACAGGCGAACAACAAACTTCATCCGCAAAAATGGGCTTCTCATGGGTCAACCTTATACTAGTTCAACCATGGTTCCAGCAACGAGAGATTAGAGAAAATAAGAGAAGGAGAGAGAGATAGTTTGTTTGTGAGAGAGAGCCGCGACTTAAGCGAGTAATAGAGAGCGAGATGGAGCAGAAAAAGAGCGAGTATCTCACAGCTGCCAGAAGACTCCACACGAGCTGGATGCTCTTCTCCCTTTTTGGCGTTCCTATTACCTTTAACTTTTCTTTACTGTTTCACGTCAGCGAGGTCATTACTTCCTTTACTCAGACTTGTCGCAGAATGTTAAGAGCTGCGGATCCGAAAGTGGTTCGTTTCTTTTAGCGATGTTAGTGGATATTGTCTTCTAATTTAACGTATTTCTTTCATTAAGGTCTCAATTAAGAAAGAGTCATCAAAAATAAATTTTTATTTGCATAGTCGTTGAAACTATTAATTACAGAATTCAGTGATAAATACTATACGTTTTAGGTAGGTACTTGATTTTGCCCTTTGGAAGGACCAGTAAATTTTCTCTTCAATTTAAAAGCTGAGTCATATTCTTCTCAGAAGCGATGCTTCCGAGTTGTTCATTTCCTAACGTAACGTTCACCCTCGCCTTCCTACCTGCTTTATGGTGTTGGCACTCACGAAGTTCAAAGAAAAGACAATTTTGGAATCGATGTTGCGGCAAGGCAGAGTTTTATAATAAATTTAACAGAAAAGTTTAACCGTAAATGGGCCAGCTTCTCAGTATCTGAGTTACAATGAGCACTAAAAAGCGTGTCATAACTGAGCACAGACACCACATGGCGATTTTTTGTAGAACGAAAGCTCAAACTGGTATAATTCTCAAAAACGTTTCACGGAATCTTTTCTGTACAATCGAGTAATTGAGTTTTCCGTTCTATAGCTTGTGTACCTGTTTCATACCGCAGCTTCAAACCGAAAATGGCCATCTCTATATGTATACGTATACGCTATTTAGAGGGAAGTTATTATTACGCTAAAAAAATTATACGCTATGTACATGCATAAGGTGATATACGAATGTAAATCACCTCCTGCATGACGTATTGCACCACGCTGTTCAAAATGTGTATTAAATAATTAGCTGTATTGTATTATCTTAACAGTGTAAGTAGGGATCTAATGGACGCCACTAGCAAATGTCATCACAATCCCTGAAATGGCTTAGGCAAGATCAATACCAAGGACGATCTTGCAATTTTTACGCTACGTGCTGCTAAGGAGCCTCAACCCTGCATTACCGATTATTCAAATGATTATCCACACGTGGATATGATTAAAAATCAATAAATAAGTTATTTCATATATTTTACATGAACCCATCCAGTTTGAGTTACAAAAAGGATTTAAACCACCAATTGTACAATTTAATAGACAATTCCTTAGAGAAATTCATTTCTCTTACCTTCCTCATGAAATTATTGACCACGAGTTCTGTGTGACCAACAGAAATGAACGGAACGCATTAACGGATTAAGACATAAATTTAAAGATTTTCAAAACATTAATTTAATAAGTAAAATATTAATTGAATGATAAAAACAGTAATCTTGTAGCACAACTGAAAGAAAATCTGAAGGAATAAATGAGATGTGTTAGTTAGAGAATGCATGTAAAACAAATAAGAATAATGACGCAATGGCCCAATATGGGAATTGACTAGGAGCGATCTTTACGGAGCGTTAACCCAACACCGCGTCCATCGTTTAACGTGCAAGGCTTAATAAATAATGCTCACGAAGGATAATTAAGGATTGTCAGAGAAATAGCAGGGTTCGAGTATAGATCATTAGATGAAGCAGCAGTGGATGTTGAAGATGCAGTGAATAATTAAATAAAGTAATGTACGATGATCCAGTGTATGGAGACTGTGAAGGCGCCGTCTAGAAAAGAGCTGAGCAGTCCAGCGAGAGCGGCGCTAGTGAAGTTCTTAGAGCGCAGGTCTGGCAGTGAGAGACGAACCTTGGGAGTGTGTGGTCAGGTTCAGTGCTTCTGTCCTCTTAAATTCCAGGCTATTGGATTCTTCTACACTAGGCCTGATCCCACTATTGGCCCTGTCATCTATGGGTCTTAAGTAATGGACATTCATAGTCGGGATTGCCTTAAAATTCTATACAAATTCGTACATTCGGCCTAGGATGAAAGTGAACTATGGTGTAGCCTGTCCCTGGACCCGAGATCGGATGCGGTGCTGCTCACTTCATGACTTGGGCAGCGTTTGTTGGCACTGACCAAGTTTTCTTCTTTCGCTTCGCATTATTCTTCTCTTGCTTACCTGTGAACATTGATAGTAACTGAGTGTTGAAGGAAATGATCAAATCTAACATAGCGCAAGTATGTGCAGAAATCACACTCACGTTTAGAAGTGTCGTTGAGTTGAAATATAGTAAGTCAATATTTTGTGAAGAGTTAAATGCTTCAAGTTCAGCTTCATTGATGTGTTGCGCTTCTAACATTGGCAATTAATTCTTATTGAGCTGTAGTTTTGTGAGGAATCAAAGCCGTAACAAATAACACGCATTACAGTGTTCTATCAAATAAATTTGTGACGGAAAAGGAACTCCTGAATTTTAATTTTCTTTATAAATCCATTCGTTACCCAACAATTCCATTATTGACTGGAAGTTTTCCCTTAGACAGTATTGGACCGCAGGAAGCAGATAGCCTACTTTGTGTACCAAATGTCATGAGAACTACGGAAAGAAGTTCTTAAAAAATTGATTTTGGCCTGTTTCCGATTTTTCTCTGTCATGGAAAATTTGAGAATTCGTGACTTCTCATCATCTTCCTTCCCGTTGGGTTCGCTGTAGGAAATTTAGCAAGTTTAAACGTTTGACGTCGGAATTCTATTTTGAAATCAAGAAGTGGAAACGGATCTTCAAGTTACTGAATCTTAAGTTGAGTGACATCTGGCTATCTGTCAAGTTCTGATTCAAATTCATGACTCGTATGTTACCACTTACCGCCATCTTGAAGTGTTAAATACTGTAATTTCTTCCGACGATTCATTTGTGCCTCATCTCTATCAAGTGCATTCGATTACTTTCAATAAATTCGATGTAATTTGGGTCAACAAAATTTTCCGTTTCTACCCAATAAGTATTCGAGAAATTTAAAAACTGCACAACCATTCATCTGTTGACCTCAAAACAGTCAGATCGCTCCACGCTACTAACCTCATCTGGCCACGACTGCTGAACTTAGTTGACCATCAGGTCGTTAGGGTTCGACGAAAAATCTTCCATCAAAGCGGCCATGAAGTTAAGTCAGGCTGGTACGCGTTCTTCATACTGCTCCCACTAATTTTAATAATAACTTGAGAAGATCAGTTTCTCTGGAATCTTGGAGCGAAAACATGAGTGAGAGGTCGATTCACCAGCCGATTCAGCTGCTGTACTGGCGCATGTGTGTTCATCTACATTGTAAGCCCCCTGGATTGCAAGGTTGTGTCTTTTGAAAACGGCTCCAAAAAGTCGGAAAATATTTCCTATAAAAATGTTCATTAAAGGCTTGCGGTCAAACCAGGAGATTTCGTATGTTAGGTGTTAGCCTTAATTTGTGCCAGTGATAGTGATAAGGGAAATTTCGAACCGACTCTGAAAAGCAGGCATTTTTTAAAGTTCTCTCTGCATATTCCCATTAATTCCTGACAAACCTGAAAAATTCTGTCGTGAGAATCTTTAAGTTTATAAGTTCAACAAGATACCGCCCCTGTCAAGCAGCTACAGCATAACAACGTTGCGCGCTCTACGTTTCCACAACATGTCCTCTACATGACAGTAATGGTTACCGCCTTGGTGAGTCCCAAATTATGAATAATTATCGATCTCTAATTTGTCCTTTTTTTGTTATTTATATGGCCCTTGGGATTTTTCTATCGATATTTATATGAATGATTAATCTCACTTCTACCAAAATTTAGACTTGCTGAACGTGTATACGCGGAGGGATGGTCAAATCTTTCCAGGTCCTTAAACTTTGCAATATTTTTACATACTGTAATATGTTGAGATTTGTATCATGGACTATTTATTTCTGAGGATAGAAATTGAGTACTAGTAAGAAGCGCATGCTGGTCGAGTGAAATCAAGTAGTTAAAATGATTAAGAATAACTGGTATTTGCAGAACACTTGTGTCAAACCGATAGTATATAGACAACTACAGGGTTCCTGATCGCAATACAAATAGAAGAAAAAACCCTACTTAAAAATTTATTAAAAAAGTATCATGTTTAATTTTTTTCAGTTCAAGTATAATATCAAGGCTCAGGAAGTAATCTCATTACCATTGGCAGCCGTTAAAACATATTAGTTTGTAGTTATTGCCGAAGTTCGCTAAGCTGCAGACGCGTTATATATAATTCAATAATGGGTTGGTTTAGTAACGTGCTGGACTAGGAAGGAGTCTCTCACAGACTCCATGAACAAGGATGCTGGGTGAAGGTGATTCTCATCCCTTGGAGAGGGTCCATCTAAGACGTTTAGGATACATGGAAATTGGTCATGGTTCATCATTGTAAGTTGAAAGTCATGCATCTCGAGCACTCAACTTAAACACGCATCGGATACAGTTTGCTCAAGGCAATCCTTGCTGTTGAACAAAGCATTTCATGTAACAACACGCGGACTGTTTCAACACGCTAGAAATATATGCCACTGTCCTTTAACGAGGTCGTTTTACGAACATCATCATATCAAACCTGTGCATGCGCACACAATAGGAAGTGTAAAAACAATTCCACAAGGCCGCTTATCCTTTATCTTAGCTGCGTCTTCCCTTCTTAAACGATGAATTAGTCCCCATTGCCGATTTAATTTTATACAGCAGTGGCGCCAACATTAAAAATATAAACGAGAACGTCCTCTCAGTGGTGGCAGAGTGGGCTGGTTATCACTGAGGCCATGAATGACCACGAAAATTTCGAGGTGGGAATTGCTTGCAGTGGCAACGATCTGCGATACAGGGCTGATTCAGAAATACCAGCTGATACAGAGCTCTGAAGACCACTGTTGAAAAAATGGCCATGGATATTATTCACAATTTCATTGAATAATGCGTTAAATTTTGCAAATGAAGTAATGACTTTAATTAGAAGATACTGTATACTGTGAAATTACCATTTCAGCATTGTATCATGGATATTTTCTCTGAAGAGTTTGCAAATACTCGGAACCTTGCGTAGTTATTACTTAAGGGGAGCGTCTGAGTTAAAATCGAAAATTTTTACTTTTTTGGGTTTTCATACTCATCTTAAAGCTTACATTCCGACGCATCTAACGGTACCAAAACCATCGCTGTACGTTGATTTATGCGTTCACGACATATCGCGAAAGAGTTAGGGGTGGTGGTGTTCTTTAACATTTAAGATAGGCCGAAATTACCGGTAGTACACTAAAATAGCTAGTCCGAACATGCTGTGCTTCAGTTAGCCGCCTCGTGCCGTCGTTCGCACCATCCTTGACAGAAATTGAGCTCCAGTATCGTCTAGTCTCGCAACCTTGCACCCTTGAATGTCTATTTCGAGTTGCGCGCGACTTTGTCGGGCTCTACTGAAAAGTTAACTTATTGTCACTGCAAATCTATCTCCTCCTACAGTTTTAAAGCTACAACAATGAGACATATAGCATCCGATTTGCAAGGAAAAGATCTACAAAAGCTATTTGGTGTTTTTCTAATTTCATTATAGTTTGGATTTTATTTTGCAAAAAGGGGGGTGGCAGGGGGTAAAATCGAAAAATTTTCGAAAAATTTACAAAAAATGCCCCTACACCCACAAAAATGAGATTTCAAATAATATAAGTTTAAAAATTACTTTTTAAGGACAACACTTCCAAAGAATCCAGTATCTCCAATCTTACAGATGTACAATGAATTTCTCATCTAGTTTTCAAAAATTAAAAAAATTAACTTTTCAATTTTTCAACATAGGTACCTATATACATTTTCTTTTAATATACAATTTTTTGTTAAATTATTTATTCTGTTAATTGATTCATGCATTGCCTCTGACTTCACACAAGTGTGCAAAATTTCAGATCAATTAGACAGGTAAAAGTGTGTTAAATATCAGTTATAAGATTTGGAGCTGACAAAATTTTTTTTTCAATTTTTTTTAATTTTGAAATTTTTTTTTTCAATTTTTAAAATAATTTATTTGACATTTGATTCATGCATTGTCTCCAACTTTACACAAGTGTGCAAAATTTCAGATCGATAGGATAAGTAGAAGTAAATTAAATTTCGATTACAAGATTTGTAGCAGACAGACAGACAGACAAACAAACAGACAAGAAGTGAAGTTAAAGAGAAGTGTTTTAAAAACGCATACTAGCGTTTGTAGATATTGCCCTTGTGCATCGAATGATAAGTGTTTCGATATTGTAGCTTGAAAATCCTAGGAGGAGATAGGATTTCTAAAGTACCCCCTTTTGGCCGTTTTCTAAGAATTCCACGTTTACTTTCATTTTTTTAGAAAAATTCACACGAAAAAAAGTCTTAGAATTCCGTTTTGCATACGTGTACCAAATTTCGAATCGATCCGTCCGTAAATAACCGAGATAAAATTTGTCCCAGACGCTCCCCTTAATCGGAGCAGTACATTTGGTTTCTCGACCGAACGCTAATTTTTGGTAATACTTTATTTTTCCGCAGATATTCTTCTTGCCCAAATGTATTATTTCATTGTTCTAGTTTTGAAAATGAAACCATTCTACAAATTCGCACACTTTTTTCCTTATAGTAGGTTAATACTGTGTATAAAATATTTATAATTATGCTCGATCGTGACTAAGGCTGAAATTATTATTCTGAATTATTTCTGAAATTATTTCACTAGAATTGTTTTTTGTGAGATTTTTCACATTCCTCTTATCGACTAATTTAGTTATTTTAAAAGAGATTTTAAGGTGAAGAGACTCGAGTTTCGTGGCGCGTCAAACAGCAGGCTGATAGCAGCGTCACAGAGCCAAGTTTTGGATGTCTTGAAACGCGGAGAATGAAGGCAACGGCACTAAGTTTTTATCACCGATCACTGAGGAAGATACAGCACGCTAAGCATCCTGAGCCTCTCACGAAGCATGTGCAGCCTTTCACGAGAAATACCTGTCGAAAAAAATTAGAGTTTTCGGTGTTAAAGTAATGCGAGACCTACATTTTCATACATTCTTCTCCGATCAGAAATTCTGAACTTATCAGTTACTCAACCATGATAAATCTGTCTGAACATGGTTAACTAATTTGGGCTTATGCAACGGCATCTGAATTTCAAAACATGAATCACTAATGCTAAAATGGTTCATAAAATTTGGCGTGTCTTAAGCTACCAGTTTATACAAACTCTTAAGTCTGTGGAATTTTGGTTTTGGTCGTAAAACACTCGAAGACTTTATTTTTTGTGTCACAGGTAAAACACGCGTAATTTATTTCTTATCTAACATAATATCTAATCTTCATAATTGCTTTAATGTATAATATTATGCATTACAATTTCTTGTTTGAAGCTAATTATTCAGCTGTAGTTTTTACTTTTTGTATTAGGCAGTCTGTAAGGTTCAAGCTAAGGACGACTCCAATTTGATTCGATAAATTTCCGCCACGACTGCCACCTAACCTCAACAAAGGAGAAATGAAAGCCAGATAAACAAGTATCTATTAACCCGAGACAACTACAACAATAAATAATGACTAACGCAACACTCAACTATTTAACAATTTATAACATGAACAGATAACTACGAATAATAGGCACACGGAACTGAAAATATGGGTAACTTTATAAAGAAACAATATGCTGAAGGCACAATAAGCTTAGGACGCAATATTCTGAAAGCAACACGCTGATGACACTATATGCTGAAGGCAATACACAGATGACACTATATGCTGAAGGCAACACGCAGATGACACTATATGCTGAAGGCAATGTGAACACACTGTAGGTGTCAGGACCGGTAGAGACTTGAATGTGGCGGACACTTCCCTAGAAGCACCGCAGTCGTCGGCCTACGTAGGAGCCGTACTTGTTGGCCAGGCAAGAAATCGATCCTGCCAAACAATGGTGGTGAACTACTCTAGTTACGCAGATAAATACACAACACTATTTATTATATCAGTTATGCAATTCAAATTAGCGGGTCGGTAAACACTTATTAGAAAATTCATAAGCTAAATTACAAACACAGAATTAGCCTATCTTATATCTCCACTACAACTCACCTACTAGGGACGCTACACAGTCACTAGAGCACAGTGAGAGGAAGGTGCGCTCCGACCAAGTCTAAACGAAATAATGAATGGGTATCCTAACGCGGACTTTAACCCGGTGATGCCACGTCAGCACACGCGACACGGTAGCCAACTTTACCGGTAACATTATACCGTATAACAAGAAATAATTTTGACCACAATAAAGATCTGACAATGGGTGAATTTCCCTTACACAGTCAAAAAGTGATATTTTTTCATGAAGGTACAAGACTCAATGTCTACGCAAAAAGAAAGAAAGGCATTGAAGTGGCGGAACCATAACTTGGGCCGAAATCTAAGTAAATTTTTTTTAAATAATTGGAGACTCTCTAATTATCAAATTATTTCTCCAATAATTTGATTAGGAGATGCCATTGAAGAAATGCGACGTTTGTGTGCATTGTTAGTGACAAATTATCAGTTACAATTGCTCTATATCAATTGATATTGTTCTGACTGGCAAATGCTTAGTAGTCCGCTAAAATTAATAATAAATTTTTAAACCCTAAATGTTGTCCTTAATTAGGGAGGATTTAAATCCCGTCATTTGAG